GGGTGGGGGCGGGCCGGCGGGCGGAGGGGGGGGAAGCACAGGTCTGGGCTGGCTCGCCGGCCGGCCCTTTCCTGGGGGAGAGGCGCGCAAGGAGGAGGCGCTGGCAACCACCACCACCACCAGCACCATCGGAGCAGCCGAAGAGCCGAGGCGAGGCTGAAGCTCGACGGGGCCGGCCAGAGCATTCCTTCCTGCCTGCAGTCCTTCCAGCTCGCCTCCGACCGACCGACCGACCGACAGGCGGGAGCCGGCGAGGAAGAGAAGGGCGAAGGAAGCCCAGCCAAGCCCGAGGAAGGGGCGGGGGCGGGCGGTGAGTCTCTCCCTTTTTTTTGCATGAGGTTCCGACCCAGGAGAGAGGGAGGGATGGGGTTTGTTCCCCCTTTCCAAGCTGGCCTCTGGGGGACTACACCTCCCAGAATCCCCAGCTGGCGGGCGGGGGGGCCGGCTGGGGGATTCTGGGGACGGTAATCTCCCGAGGAGGAACGTGGCGCGCGCCCTGCCCTGCCCTGCCCTGCCCGGGACGGGCCAAGTTGGCGCTTTCCTTCCTTGAAACAGGGGAGCGAGTTCCCCCCCTCCCTCTGAGGAAGTTCCCACTGTGTGTGTGTGTGTGTGTCACGCGGCGCCTGGTGGTGGATCGGGCCCACCAAACAGGGAACGAGGTGTTTGGGGGTTCCTTTCCTCCTGCCCAGTGGCTCCTTTCTCTGCCTCCCTGCCGACTCAAACGCCTTCCTTCCTCCAGCCCAGCGTGCAGGAGGATGATGAGGATGATGAGCCTTTTTGCCTTTGAGCCAGGAGGCGGCGGTGTCTGCATCCTGCCCCACCAGCGTGCCCGAAATCGATAAGCCCAGAAAGTAACACAAAGATGGGGACATTTTCTGGGGTGTGCGCTGGGCATTCATGGAAAACCATTGCAGCCTTCCCGGGTGTGTGTGTGTGTCTTTTAACAAAGGGAAGCAACCCTGGGCTGTTGTTGACTGTGGTTCTCCACCTTCTCCACTTCTCTTCCCAATCTGACTTGACTGGTGTAGATCCTTACTGGTTTACTGGTGGTGGTGGAATGGAGCCGCGGGCTTTTGAAAGCCATCCTTCCACTCTCTGTGCAGAGTCCACTGAGAAAAAAACAGTAGATGTGGCATCATTGTGAAGCCAGCCTAGGTCCACTCATGCCCAGCGTGACATATTGGATAGAGCCTTATTTTATTCGTATGGCAGCATTGCACAATTTAAAATGATGGACATACAGTATGTGAAGTGCAGGTGAAATGGAAAACAAAGTGTTAAGAGAATTAGACTGTTTTTGAACAAAAGTGGGCTGTTTGGATAGTGTTTTATCCTGACCGTTTGTTAGATCTTTTGTACACATGGCGGGGCATAAATTGCATGCACAGAAGTGTTGCATGGGTTGAATTTTTCCACAGTCACGGAAAATGTGTCCTGTATCCAAGTAGCCCCATTCTACTAGATTGTTCTCTGATCTCCCAGCCAAACGATAGACTTTTTCAATAGGCGTGGACTTCAATAGGCATGATAATCCTTCACGATTCATTAAGAGTTACATACACTTATTTGGCATGCTCCGATACCCTATGCATTAGCATATTCAGTGTGGAATACCACAGGGGCAAAGCTATGGTTCTTATTGATGGTTGTAGGTTTTTTGGGCTGTTTGGCCGTGTTCTGCAGGTTTTTCTTCCCAATGTTTCGCCAGTCTCTGTGGCCGGTATCTTCGGAGCACGGGAGCTAGAACTCTGTGTTCTGGTGTAGTGTGTGGGATAATACCCCTCAACTATCCCACACAGTACAACAGAACATAGACAGAGTTACAGCTCCTGTCCTCTAAAAATGCCGGCCACAGAGATGTTAGGCAAAACGTTAGGAAGAAAAACCTCCAGAACACAGCCAAACAGCCCGAAAAACCCACAAGAGCCGTCGGATCCCGCTGTGAAAGCCTTTGATAATACATATGGTTCTTATTGTTAGTGGGCATGCGCCACAGTCTGACCTTGCCTGTTTTCTTGTATGTTATTACTGGTGGCAACTTTCTGTTTGGTGTTTAGACAATATTTTTGTAGGTCAGGGTTCAATCCTGAATGAAGCCCAGATCCTTTGGGGCCGGGCATTGTTCCAAAACCTTGCCTTCCACAGCTCCTGTCCTCTAAAAATGCCGGCCACAGAGATGTTAGGCAAAACGTTAGGAAGAAAAACCTCCAGAACACAGCCAAACAGCCCGAAAAACCCACAAGAGCCGTCGGATCCCGCTGTGAAAGCCTTTGATAATACATATGGTTCTTATTGTTAGTGGGCATGCGCCACAGTCTGACCTTGCCTGTTTTCTTGTATGTTATTGCTGGTGGCAACTTTCTGTTCGGTGTTTAGACAATATTTTTGTAGGTCAGGGTTCAATCCAGAATGATGCCCAGATCTTTTGGGGCCAGGGAGGCATCGCAAAGCGAAGATCGGTAAGCGAAACGCTTACCGATCGTCGCTATGCGAGTTTTGCCCATTGCAACCGTCGGTATGCCTCCGCATTAGCGATCCCGAAAAAGGGATCGCTATGTGGATTCGTCGTTATACGGTGCGCTCGTTAAGTGAGACACCACTGTAATTGAGAATTTCCCCTCTGCTTCTCTATTCTAAGTGGAAGGCACACAGAGCTATGTTTTTAAAGGGTTTGGTTTCCACACTGTGCTGGCTGGGGTTTCTGGGAGTTGCAGTTCAAAAACATCCGAGTAACAAAGGTTAAGAACCACTGTTCTAAAACCTTGCCTTCCCAGTTAATTGAGAACTTCCCCTCTGCTTCTCTATTCTTCTAAGTGGAAGGCACACAGAACTATGTTTTTAAAGGGGTTGGTTTCCACTTGTTGTTTTTATAATATCAGGAAAGATCTTCTAATGCAGAGAGGTTAGCTGGTGCATGTTGGTCTCAAAGGTTTCCCCCTGGACTGTCAAGGCAAGATCATCAGCATAGGTGACACTCTCAGAGTATGGGAATGTTGGTTGATCGTTGGTGTAAATGTCAAAAAGTAATGATGCCAGGATGCTGCTACCCTCTGGGAAACCCATTCCTTTGATGTCTCCAGCGACTGTGCCTCCTTTGAAATTTAACGAATAACCTTTGGTTTTGAAGTAGAACGGCAACCATTTCTATGAGTCCATGAACTTTAGTAAAGTGGCCGAACGTTTTGAGCTGTCATTGATGGTGGACCGTATTATATACTTCTCCACGGTCGACAGATACCGTACTGCTCGAATTATTTTATGTGTTTCGAAACCGTGTTCTATATGCTGGTTAGATTTAAAATTTCAGCCGTACGGTTCTTGTCACGTCTAAGACCCTGCCTGTTCTGAAATGAGAAGACCTTCAATTTTAGATGCTAGATGGTTTAATATCATTCACTCAGAACACTTTGTATAAGTAAGGAGATAGGCTTTTGGGGTCTGCAGCTTTTGGGGTCTGCTGATTCTTTGCCTGGTTTCAGTGCAGTGGTAGAAGAAGTGAACAAAGTGACTGGCAAGGACTCCGGAGGCTTGGGTTCGAATTCCCCTCAGTCACCGGGGCCGTGGAACTAGTAAAACCACTCTTTTACTTTTTAACTTACCTTGAAAACCCCATTAGGGTTTCTGTAAGTCGGTTCTGGCTCGAAGCCTTGTAATAACAAGGTCCATTCTGCTCAAAGGGCCTTCAGTGAAATTAACTCCTAAAATATTTTGGTTGAAATGTCTTGGGGATGAATCATTTCCATAAGTCATTACCCCTGGGGAAGAGGGATTAGCTGTCCAGCTGTATAACGTGTTTTCAGTGTGGCTGCTGTAAGACTCCTTTTCTAGTAGTAAGTGCCTTTATGAGTGTGGCTTATATAATTCAATAAAAGAGGTGTCTCGACATTTTAGTAGAGTTCCTGCAGAAATCTTGGATTCCCACTCCTTCAAAACTCCTGACTTCTTTCTTCATTGCAATGAAATCAGCCTTCACCAAAAATGGACTTCACACCCCATCACTCCCAGAAACTGGTTGAAGTGATGGGATCTGTAGTCCAAAAATTTAGGAGGGCACTTCCAGGTTGGCAAGGGATAGTCTCTAAGCTAGCCTTAGATTTGGACGGTAAGGTGCAGGATTGGAACTGGCTACCAGAGACCTATTTCCTTGTACTGTATTTTTCTGGCTTTCTGGTAGCAATGTCGCAACACCCTAAAATTATGCAAGGCAATGAATTAACAGAGTGATGGTAGTGATGATGAGGGCAACCTGGCTGCCAAGAAGCAATGGGCAGATGCGGCGAGTTCCTCTTAGAATATTACCTTTCACGCTCAGGTGGGCCCCTATTATGATCTCCTCTTAGTTACTGCGGTGCTCCTATGCATTGATTATTTCTTCACTGCTCTGGTGGATGATGTGTGTGTGCGTGTATGACCTTTCCAAATTGTTGGATGGCTGCTTTGAGCCAGAGGTTGGTATGTTTGCTTTGAACACAACATCAAATGATGCATGGACATCCAGTTTTGGAACACTTGAACTACATTCAGGAGCTCATCTCAAGTTCCACATACCGTATTTTTCCGTGTATAAGACTATACTTTGTCTAAAATCTTTGGACTAAAAATTGAGGGTCGTCTTATAAATGGAAGTAAGCTGAGGAGAGAACAAACACAAGTGGAGGGAGAAGCAGGGATCAAAGCGATCCTGCAGTGCTTTGATCCCTTCCCCCCTAGACTTGTTAAGGCCCACTTAGATTTCTTAATTTGGGGTTAGAAAAGAGGGGGGCGTCTTATGCACTGAAAAATATCATACCTCTGGGCCACTTTTGAACAAACGGAAATTTTCTATGGCGTCTTATACATGGGGCGTCTTATGCACTGAAAAATATCGTACCTCTGGGCCACTTTTGAGCAAATGGAAATTTTCTACTGCATATTATTATCCTTCCTCTGCTGCTGTTTCTCCCATTTGTTCTCTCCTTTCTTCAAACATGGTGGGTAGCAGACAGGCCATTTATAGTCCTTTGTCTGCTCTTAAGGCCTGAATTTGTGACATCAGCAAAAATAGTGTAATATGATATTAGTAGAGATGGGCACGAACCACCGGTTCGTTTTTCGGACAGGTCTTTGGCACTTCTGAGTCCCACCTCCTCCGACAAGCGCCTGAATTTGTGACATCAGCAAAAATAGTGCAATATGATATTAGTAGAGGTGGGCGCGAACCACCGTTTCGTTTTTCGGCGGACAGGTCTTCGGCACTTCTGAGTCCCACCTCCTCCGACGAGCACCCAATCAGAGGCTGGACCACGGATTCCTTGTCCCGCCTCCTCTGGT